TTCTGATTCCAGAAGCCTTTTCAGATAAAAGGGTGCTGCTTAAGTATGCCAACAACATGAAAAGATGTAAAATCTAGGAAAACTGACACAAGAGGAAGCAGAACATGCATATGCTTCAATACAYTGCTGTATGAACACATGGTACAGGGGGGTCCCTTAGTGAGACATACATACATTGATATAACCTTGCATAGATCTTTCACCTAATTTTGCCTGAAGCAAACTTTCTAACACTTTTCTGTAAAAGCTAAATGAGGCAGGGGGCAGAGGGGTAAAGGGAATATCACAAAGCAAAACCATGTCACTCCCAAATAGGCTCAGTGCTAAAGCTGAGCAAAGCACCCTCACCAACTCCGAATCTGAGCCCATACAATGCAACACCTCATCCTGTCACAAGACTAAAAAGAAAAAAAGCCCACCATCAAACAGAAACCAACCAACCAAAAAGAATCAAAACCGACCAAAAAATGCTAAAACTCAATTAAAAGCAATATTCACAGGGCTTTTAGTTAGGTTAGGGTCACGAAAGGTATGGATTGTTTTATTTGTGGGGATGGGAACACATTTTTATCAGGTTCATTTCCCAGCAGAAACAAAGCAGACAGGCAAGTCTGCTCAATTTGTCTATGRGTTCACAAGTGATGATGTATGGATAACTGTGTTTTAATGGCACCTCTCACCCAATGACCCCAAAGTGCTTTTACTTCCCATAATGAACTCAGCTCCTCAGCAGCTTGACAGCTTCATTTTACATGGGAATTGAGAGAGAGATGAAGTCATTTATCTGTGCCATGCAGCARCACAAAATCAGCTCCTGCCAGCCCAGTGATTTATGCATTAGACCACACTTGTTTTTGCACAGCATCCTGTCCCAGAGCCTGCTGTCACCAGGGAGGTAACACACTTCCCAGCTCTGTCATTTCTCAGACAGTATTGTGAGCACTACAGCGTAGGCGCTCTCCAGCCCCAGCCCTGCAAAATGTTAAGTCAACAGTGGCTTAATCCACTCCTTACCTCACAGAGGCTCAAGACTYCTGTTTACATTATTAATGTTTCCTGGCAACTTTACCCTTCTTCCCCATTATCTTTGAGCAAGAAAAGTCTAATTCTTCGA